CGGGTGGTTGGTGGGTGTTCTGGTATAGTTTGCTTCTTCTATCCTATCAAACATCTATCGTCTTTCGCTGTCTTCCTGCTTTTTTTGTGTCAGTTTCTCTCTTGTAACACCTCTAATTTCGGCACTTATATAAACTTATTGTATTGTAAGTGCTGTAAAACTCATATTAAAATTTAGGCTAAGCGAAACACTCCCCCAAAACAACCTAAATTTAGGACATCTCGTCGGAGATTCGAAATAGGGCCATCACGGATTGCTCGTGATTTGTTCTGTCAGGCATACATAGTGACGATGGCGGTGAAAATACATGTGTAATTATAAAGGATTTAATAAGGGGATAGAAGAACGGGAAGGGAGTTATCATTGAAGAAGATGATTGTGGCGGTTTTATTGGTGGGGGAAATGGTGGTGGTCCTAGCTATGGTTACGAATGTCAAATTTAAAATTGTTCACGCAACTGATGACAGCATGCACTGAATCATAGGCGTGACTTATGCGATTTACTAAAGAGGTATACTTTTGTAGTTTTGATTTTACAGCAAAGGGGGGTTGTTTGTTATTGTCGCTATTGCTGTTCTTTTTAGAATATTTACGAATATATTCTGTTGCTCCTATTTCTGTTGTTGTGGTGGGTGTTATTAGCACTGTTAATGTTATGATTATTGATTATTTCTATTGCTTTTTATATAAAACCTATTTTTATCATCATTGATTTTATTTTAATTCTGCAGTTGTTTCTGATAGTGTTTTCATTGTGTTTTAGTTTTAGTAGGAGTTTTTCGGCACTTGCAACACAATTAGGTCATATAAATGCCGAAGATTACAGGTGTTACAAGAGAGTAACAAACACATAAAAGGAGGGGGGATAGCGATGATAGATGTTTGATAGGAAAGAAGAAGCAAACCACTCCAGAGCACCCGCCAACCACCCACTTGTCATCGTGCATCCTCATTATTTTTATTGTACATATTGGTGATGTAAGAAGACGCCGCCGACAACAAGAATGATAACGATGACGACCACGATAATGACAAAGAATAACGGTTTAAAATACATCTTTTGCCCCGCACAAATCGAAAAGTTTCTTCACTCGGTGCCCGTCTGCGAAGTATGACGTCACTATGGACGGTGACGAGAGACGAACGGGAGAAAACTGCCTTATCTGCACACTCGCAACCGGAGACAAGCGACAAAATTGTCCCAGTATGCACTGGCCTACAAGCATCATCAGGCAGGCTTTAACGTGGAAACCACAAGAAAAATGTAAGAAGGGAAGACCAAAGATGACATGGAGGCGAGCGGTACAAGCGGAAATTGAAAAAGCGGGGACATCATGGAAACAGATACACTGGGAGTTAAAAATGGCATGAGAGATGCACTGGGCCTGCTGCGTTCATTACCGGGCTTAAAGCTGGGGTTGGCTGCCGTGAACATGACCCCCAGGCACGAGCAGGCCAGCATGACCAGAGGGAAGTGAATGGTGTTGGGGGTGAAGGCCAGGAGGACATCGCCATGACGGAGGCCCAGACGGTGCAGAGCGCTGGCCAGTCGGAGCGAGTTCTCTTTCACTTGTGCGTACGTGTAGCTTTCGCCAGTATGGAAATCCTCCTGGGGAAAGTTAGAGAGTTGGATGGCATCATCATCATCATCATCATCATCAATCATCATCACTGTTTTACAGTAGGAAAAACACCGGAGACTTGAATATAATAGTACATGTTTCATGAATCATCATCATCATCATCATCATCATCATCATCATCATCATCATCATCATCATCACCATCATCATCATCGCGTTTTGATATTATGGTAGAGACAACGAAAATTTCTGATCATTTCGATTTTACAGGTCCAGCTCCCCTGCCAAAATGTCGAATGATAAACCGAAATGTTCAACAATAAATTAAAATCCCTTTTCTACTACAGCAACTGGCAGAAATGATAATGAAGTCGGCATCAAATAAACCACACACAAAATGATTGAAAAGGTATTGAGCATCATCGATCTGCGATGATCTTTTTATGCACATTTCATGAAGAATCTTCCTCGTCAATTCTTCGTTTTAGTAATTAGGAGTTTTTCGGCACTTGCAACACAATACGGTCATATAAGTGCCGAAGATTAGAGGTGTTACAAGAGAGTAACAAACATAGAAAAGAAGGAGGAGAGATCAGGACGATAGATGTTTGATAGGAAAGAAGGAGCAAACCACAGCAGAGCACCCGCCAACCACCCACGTCAACTCTTCAACCCACGCAACGGTAACAGGAACAACAACATGGCAGCATCAACAGCAATACATAATAATATAATATCTTAAGGGAAGAAATTTTTTTAATGTCTTACCACTGCAATGGAGTTGCTGAATTCATCACATTTCTGAAAGACAAACTCATGCACACACATATCTGGAATGGTAATGTCTGGCAGAGGACTCCTCAGGATGAGGTCTGGGGAGACAAGCCCCGTGTGTGGTGCGCCATCAGACGACAGGCATCTTGATGATACAAACACTGGTGATTGGTTCGTGGGTACACATCGTGCTTTTGCATTCATTTGATTCGGGCGTCCGTTGGCGGAGAGAGAACGAGCGATCATAGAGGGCTTGAAGGTGTCAGCTCCTCGGGTCCCGTACAGGGAGCGAGAGAGGAGGGTGGGGCATTGTAGGAGTCCGCGGAGCCTCGTCACCATTGTTGCTGACTGTGGATGGATGGCTGGATGGATGGGTGGATGGGTGGGTGGATGGATGGATGGATGGGTGAGTGGATGGATTTAGTAAGATTTAGTTTAAGTAACTGTTTTTTGTTGTTTTGTTGTTTTTTGTTGTTGTTGTTGTTTTTTTGTTGTTGTTTTTTTTTTGAGGTTTTTCGGCGCTCACAACTGCATAAGGTCATATGAGCGCCAGAAGATTAGAGGTGTTACAAGAGAGTAACAAACATAAAATAGAAGAAAGGGGGATGAGGATGATAGATGTTTGATAGGAAAGAAGAAGCAAACACACCAGAGCACCCGCCAACCACCCACTAAAGCAAGTGTTTGACGGCACTTGCAACACAAGTAGGTCATATAAGTGACGAGCATTAGGGGTGTTAGTTACAACAGAACAACATACAAAAGGGCAGAAGGAGCAAAAGTCACCAGAGCGCCCGACAACCACCCACGATGGATGGATGGATGGATGGATGGATGGATGGATGGATGGATGGATGGATGGAT